CATTTATGAGTGATTTATTTTTGCACTCAGTATTTAGTTCTTCTTTGCAGTGTAAGAATCTACCGTCAGAATCAGGTATTTTCTTTAATCTAACAATTCTTGGTACCTACAATTACTTTATTTATTTCGAACTAGAACAGGAAGACTATACAGAAGATAGAAAAACCCAAAATATACAATTTTATTTCAAATAAGGTACAATTTTCAATAAAATCAAGTATACTGTATCACTACGAATTTTTCTCCCCACCAAATTGGCTTCATAAGACAGACTGTTCCTTGCAATTGTTATATCTTCACATGTCTAACCAATAAAACGGTTGTAACTGTGTCCAAATCTATTATCCAACAGTTTCCGTGTCTAACATTTCTGTTTTTTGCAGTTCACCAAAGTACAGACCTGCTGGAGGACTGCCAGAAGCTGTTGGAGAGGTTCAAGTACCCCTGGGAGATGATGCCCCTGATGTACGCCATCCTTAAGGACGCCAGAGCGGACCTGGAGGAAGCTTCTAGGAGGATTGATGAAGGTCAGTCATAAGCTATCCAAAATTTAAGCAATCTCTCTAGTAATATACTGGTTTAGTCTGTAATAAGTCTACTAAGTTCAATCAATTGTTGTTTAGAATTTACAGTTTAGTTGTATTTATGTATCTGAATTAGTTGAAATGAAATCTAGAATATTATTTAGTTACTCAAACACTAGAGTGAACTCGAGTAAGAGTGGAATAATGTTGATTAACTTGAATTTGAATATTGTACCTACTAAAATATTCTCATAACTAAAGAACATGTACCTACAAATATTGAACCGTAAATGTTTGCATTTTGAGGTAATAAATAAATAGAGACAGTGTTGTCAATTGAATCAATGTCAATTGTAACAAGTTCATGCGGTGTCATCAATTAGGTTATGATAAATGTTGCTACTTAGTTTCCTCTTCCCCTTCAGTTGTAGTTAAAGCTCACTGCTTTAGCTGAGCTTTAACTACTATTAAGTGTATTACTGCTACTTTGTCAATAAAAAATATTTTAATACAAAGTATTACTTTGTTACTTTTTGCAGTTTGTTACAACGTCACCTTAACGTGTTACAATTGACAATGACCTAGTGTTAATTGTAACTAATGACGGCACTAGCGGAATTTATTTTTCTGTAAATTATAAATCGTATTTAGATTTGATAAGCATGTACGGACGCTCTGTCATTAAATTTACAAGAAAATGGCCCAATGTTTCAGGCTCCAATTCGTTACTGTTACAATTGACACTGCTGTTTATAGATGTCTGTCTTTAGTTTTGTTCAGGTTCACTCTAAATAGAATATCTTCAAAAGTATTCCATTGCATTTAGATAATGTATCTCATGTCTATTAGATCTTAAAGGGTAGGTCTTTCTTAATGTGTTAGTATGATGTTAAATAAAAAAATTGTAATTTAGTAATATGTCTTAGGTTTTCCTAAATAGTTGTATTTACATAGAATAACAGAATTGTAGATATTAAAATAAGTGACGTAGAATACAATACTGTATGCTTGAGTTACTGAACAAACTTATTACTTATACTTTTATCTATGGCATATACCACTGGAAATATTTCACTATCTAACACACTGTTAAGGTACTTCTGTTTGTCATTTTATATTTGTTGTTTAATTGCCTAAGTCTTTGCTAATCCTAAAATTGTTGATAAAACGTCTTTATTTTGTTTTCGTTGAGCACAGACTTTTAATAAAGTATTTTTCGCATTAGGGTATAATACTCCAGTGGAATTAGATCATAAAACCTAAAAACTTGAAAACTTAAAAAAATTATTAGTATTGCATTTTATGACGGGGGAGGCTAGGTAGAATGATAATATTAAAAAAGTATCTCTTCAAAAGAGACGCTAAGTTGGTAAATTGCAAATAAGTTGCAAATATACGTGTTTTTTCACCTTCTACTGTCCACGAAAATCTAGACGACCTAGCGGAATATTAGTTATTTTATGCTGTAGACTTACCTACAATTTAAAATACCTATAGTCATTGTTCACTAATTTGTTAACTGTAAAATAAAGGTCGAAAATTGCGCATCATTATTGCAAAAGGCGATGGATGTTGATGACGTTTATGGGAAAGATGGTCAATCCAAAAAGCAACATGTGTGCCAAAGACCAATTCGATTGACCGTGAAATTGTTGCTCCCAGCCCAGCAATTTGTTAATTAATTCCCATCGTTTTTTTTTCAAATGATTGTTTAATTACTAATTAGGTACTGTAGATATAGGTTTTAATTGATCCAAAGGAACGCATCAAAATAGAAAATTTTCAAAAAATTGAAATTAAGTAACTCTTTACAATTAACAAAACGTGCAAAACAGTGTTAAATAAACAAATTGTCCCAGGGTCAGGCAAAAGTCGCTCGGGAATTCGCTCTTTTTGCATTAAATAGAGCTCCAGAGATACCTTTTTTTTGTAACGTTAATTGTTTACTAACTATTGGACGTATCGGACCGGGATTTTAGAGGCAATTGAAGAAAGGGTTAAATTATTATTTTCAAGAAGTTTTACATTGATAGTTCATGAAATAAACGCGCTAGGAGTAGTAAAAGTTAACATCAATAAACGGCCCGCACGCGGGAGAGAGAGCGCCTGGCCCACGCATGCGCGGTAACGCCGCCCTCGTCGCGCTCGAGATTTTTTAACCGAATTTGAGACGTTCAAGTAAAAAATCTACTAATAATTTTTTCGCGTTCAAACTCTAATTCGACTGGAGTATAATAAGTTTCTCATCACTTTTTGCAAGTTTCTACTCCTTTCTTACTGGCTCGTGAACCAAAATATCTACATATGATTTTTTAGAATTGTTAGTTTCTTCAGGCCTCCATTCTATTCCAAAACAGGAGTGAGAAGTCTAAAGCTTGTGTGAACATACCTAGAAACAATATTCACATTTCTTTATTCAAACACATTTTCATCAATCTTTCTATATTTTCTAGAAAAGGAAAAGTTCCAAATAGTCCAATCAATCTGTCACGGCATTTTGTTAAATTTACAAACAATACCACCTGGAAACAAAAAATATGGTGATATAGGATAAAAAAATCTAAGAAAGATAGTGTATTTTTCCTGCGGCGTACCTATAAACGGCAAATTAACCTAAAAAATTCATAAAAGTAAAAAAAAACGGTTTTTCGCTAAGAAAAAAACTTTAACTCCCATCGAAAAAAGTTAAATGAGAAAGTTGTAGCTATTAAAAAAACCTATCGATTCGTGTTTTCAAATATATCGATTGCTATATTACTTTTCGAGATATATCGTAAAAACCGTCAAAAATCGACTTTTTTATTTTTGCTGTATCTCTTGCAAATTAAGGTATTGAAACTTTTTACTTCCTGTAAATGTAGCCATCGGCAAAGAAGTATATTTTTTAAAAATTAAAAGATATTAAAAAATTTTCGAGTTATATCGATTTTTCGAAAAAAAGGTCACTTCGAAAATCGGGTCTTCTTGCTCGACGAATAGTCGTAGAGAAGCGAATCGGTGCTCATTTTTTTCCTTAAAAGTTGTACTTTCATGGTAAAAAAGAGTGATAACGATTTTATTCATTTGAAGTGTCCAAAGATGACTTTGAAAAAAGTAAAAATTTATTGGTCGCGTTTTTCTTGAATATCATTTTCGATTTTCATTTCTCGATAATGTCTATTACAGGAATCAACTGCTAGCATTTTTACGCGAGTTTAAAAAAAACATTGCTCTACGACCTTCTAGAGCCGAGATAATTGTTATTTTTTCGAAAAATTCCACAGGCCGCTATTTAAGTGCTACACCGTCCATATTCTTATATAAATTCAAGATGAAGACTTATATTTTCAATAAAAAAATATTGTAGTACCGAAGCATTCGAGCGCGGCGCGAGCTAACTGTAGCGGGCGACGGAGTGGGGGTAACGCTACTCGACTGCTCCGAAAACTGAATTCGCGTGTTCAAAAGCGTTCTTACTTTCAAAATATTCATTATCTCGACTTCTGGACCACCTACAAAAATTCTTTTGTACTTAATTTGGGGTAGCTCGACGAGATAAACCAAAATATGACGTTTATGACAGCCTCAATAATTGTTTATGAAATAAAGTAAGTACAACGTTTTATGGTAATGATATCTGTTTGTTATAAAATTATTACAAAATATTTATTTCATTATCGTACAGAAAATTAGAGTTGTTTCAAAATCTTATGAGCTTTGACCTTCATATGCGCAGAAACATAATTTCGACCGTCCCCTAAATTATTCTACGCCCTAAAAACATTACATCCATTATTTAGTCTATCTCGATCTCTCGTAGCGTAAACAAGCCTTTGTTCCGATTACAAATATCATAATAAAATGCCCTATTCTTTATTATTTTAATTTAAGCAATAAAAATATATATAACGAACGTTCGCCAGTTAACTTTATTGATGGCCTAGCGCCTTAGTTCATTTCTGGTTGTAATGAGGCACGTGGTCTAATTCTGAGTCAATGTTTTCACAACGTTTTGTGTTTCATTAGAAGAATTAAGTGGATACGCCACGCCTTTCGCGCATTTCGCGGCTCATGAGATTTTGAAACTACTCTACGTGGTATAAAAATATTCGTCGATTACATTTTTTATTTTGACAGCTTATGTAAGTAAGTATATCACCCTTATGTTTCAATTCTTCTTCTCTTCAGTTCACTCGATTGTGATTCGTTTTCTTCTTCTTCCATGATTTCGTTTGCTATATTTTCCACACAATCAACATCATTTTCCACATAATTCGTTTCACCAATGAGCGATTCAAACGCGTCAAAAGAATCATCATCTAATTGGATGTTTGGTTTCAAAATTTTCAGATTGGGAAGCATCACAATGTAAAGAAACACTTGTACATTTCAAAAAATTTGCTTTACAACCACAGATTTTATTTTTGCAATCGCTGATGCAGCTACACGACATTTTTTTAATATTTCCTCTGGTATTAACGGTACCTCAGTATACACTGGTATTTATATTTTTTATTATAAACAATTATTAAAATGTTAACAAAGAAAAATTAGGCCGTCGTATATTTTCGTTTATCTCGTCGAGAACAATTGATTACTGTAATAGGCATTATCGAGAAATGAAAATCGAAAAAGACATTCGAGAAAAACGCGACCAAAAATTTCTACTTTTTTGAAAGTCATCTTTGTACACTTGAAATGAATAAAATCGTTATCTCCCTTTTTACCATGAAAGTACAACCCTTAAGGAAAAAAGTGAGACCTGACTCGTTTCTCTACGACTATTTATCGAGCAAGAACAGCCGATTTCCGAGATGACCTTTTTTTCGAAAAATCGATATAACTCGAAAATTTTTTATTATTTTTTAATTTAAAAAAAGGCACTTTTTTTGCTTGCCGAGGGCTATATTTACAGCTAGTAACAAGTTTCAAAACTCTAATTTGCAAGAGATACAGCAGAAACAAAAAAAGTCGATTTTTGACAGTTTTTTCAATATATCTCGAAAAGTAATATAGCAATCGCT